TCACAGCTGTATTGACGGCACTTACAGCGGTATAGGACAAGTGGTCGTGAGTCCGAGTATCTGATACCTCACGGTTAAAGTGCGAAGACATTTTCTTTGTACAATGTTAGTTAGGCAAGGAAATAAATTTAGCAGCACTGACTGGAATTATGAGCATGGAAGAAGCTAGAAGCCTTTCTGAGAACATATGAGAACGTGAGAACATAGGCTTGAGAAATAAAAAGCCTGCACCCATTTCACATTTTGCTTTATGTAGTTTTGTTGCGGTCTTATTTTGAATTTACGTAAAACACAAGAAACATGTATTTTTTATCATAGGTCGATTGGTTACTTTTTACTGTAAGACTCTTAAAATGCAACCGAAACAAGGATTAAAGTATATTATATATACCTCATAGATGCAACAATGCTTCTTAATGCTCTTTATGCGGGGTGGAATCTAACACAACGATAAGAATTAAGAAAACATTAATATATAATTGCATCCATTTATATTCAGCTACAGCTGAGATATAATTTATTTTTTTATTTATCGGCACCGACTTGTAAACGTACTGTAGTACAGTGGCCCTTGTGCAAGTATGGATTTTTATTGTTGCTCTGACGTGGTGACCTTATCGAGAATCGAACCCAGCTCTCGGAAGCAGAACTAACATTAACCAACGGTTCCTCTACAATATACACATGCGTCGTTTGCGTCTAGAGAACTTACGATCAAGGGTAGATATGAGTCAACAAACTGTCAGTCAAGACGAACCTTTAGCAGGCTCAAACAAAGCCTGGCTCGGAGTCCCATTTGTGGTTGTGGAGGAAAATACGGATATATCAGAGGGTTATGTCTCTTGGTGATAGAGTCCCTGCAGTAGACACTGAGGGCCCTTGAAGCTTGGATTCATACTTGAGGGAGTAATATCTCAACTGGACCGCAGACCCATTTGCCGGGATCCCAGGTTCAAGGACCTATGCGGAAATCATTGGGAAATTCTTGAATGAAAGTAAAGCAGGGAATCAGGGAGCTCGTGCATGAAGGTACGTTCTAGTCTGGGTGTTGCCAGACTAGACCTGCACAGCTATGTGTTATGCTGGAGTTAGGTGTCTAGCTTGTCTGTGGGAATTCCCCCATTAGTCCGGTCCAGCCTGACGAAGGTTCATGAGGAGAGATCCGGAGATCTCAAGTACGTGTCAGGCCTCAGACAGAGTGTCAGGATACTTTCCACAGTATTGTACATCCGCCTATATCCTTGACTCAACTCAGTCTCCTGTCTACTTTTAACCAGTTCTGACACACAGTGGATCTTCCAAGTCATGATTTCAGACTATCTAGCATCGATTTCTGTCTGTCCAATGTCACGATGTACTTCAGTGTTCTCCTTCAACTTCCGCAATGTCACGATGTACTTCAGTGTTCTCCTTCAACTTTCGCAATGTCACGATGTACTTCAGTGTTCTCCTCCAACTTCCGCAGTGTACTTCAGTGCTCTTCTTCAGCTTCCAATGTCACGATGTACTTCAGTGTTCTCCTTCAACTTCGAATGTCACGATGTACTTCAGTGTTCATCTCGAACTTCCTCAATGTCACGATGTACTTTAATGCTCTCCTTCAACTTCCGCAATGTCACGATGTACATCAGTGTTCTCCTTCAGCTTCCAATGTCACGATGTACTTCAGTGTTCTCCTCCAACTTCCGCAGTGTACTTCAGTGCTCTTCTTCAGCTTCCAATGTCACGATGTACTTTAGTGCTCTTCTTCAACTTCCAATGTCACGATGTACTTCAGTGTTCTCCTTCAACTTCCGCAATGTCACGATGTACTTCAGTGTTCTCCTCCAACTTCCGCAGTGTACTTCAGTGCTCTTCTTCAGCTTCCAATGTCATGATGTACTTCAGTGTTCTCCTTCAACTTCGAATGTCACGATGTACTTCAGTGTTCATCTCGAACTTCATCAATGTCACGATGTACTTTAGTGCTCTCCTTCAACTTCCTCAATGTCACGATGTACTTCATTGTTCTCCTCCAACTTCCGCAGTGTACTTCAGTGCTCTTCTTCAGCTTCCAATATCACGATGTACTTCAGAGTTTTCCTTCAGCTTCCAATGTCACGATGTACTTCAGTGTTCTCCTTCAACTTCCGCAATGTCACGATGCACTTTAGTGCTCTTCTTCAACTTCGAATGTCACGATGTACTTCAGTGTTCATCTCGAACTTCCTCAATGTCACGATGTACTTTAGTGCTCTCCTTCAACTTCCAATGTCACGATGTACTACAGTGTTCTCCTTCTCACGAAGTTACCTAAGAATGTAGACTTTAAAACTCAGATGCAATTCTAATATTTTAGCGTCTGTACCACTGGCAGACAATTGTTATAAGTTATTGTGTGACCTCGACTGTAACTAATTAATATAGTAAACATGCCTGACCTTGAGTGTAGATAATTAATAAAGATCAGTAGACTACTGCATCATTTCTGTTCAAACTAGTGCTTCTCAGATGTTGACATTGTTTCTAACCCCGCCAGTTTAAAATGTTCTCGTACAATGAAAACACTTGTCCGTTTATTCGGATCATGCAGCAAACTGTTGGCATCAGACTACGCCTCACAACTTCATGTCACTGACACCAAAGTTTGTGAAGTTATTGTACTCCACGCCTCAAAACTTCATGTCACTGACACCAGAGTTTGTGAAGTTATTGTACTCCACGCCTCACAACTTCATGTCACTGACACCAGAGTTTGTGAAGTTATTGTACTCTACGCCTCACAGTTTCAGGTCACTGACACCAGAGTTTGTGAAGTTATTGTACTCCACGCCTCACAACTTCATGTCACTGACACCAGATTTTGTGAAGTTATTGTACTCCACGCCTCACAACTTCATGTCACTGACACCCTAGAGTTTGTGAAGTTATTGTACCCCACGCCTCACAACTTCATGTCACTGACAGCAGATGTTTCTGCAACCAGAGGGAAACAACTCCCACTTCTCATAACCGGCTAACAGACAAAACATGTAGCTCGTGTGCATATCTCAGTGAAATGTGTGGGTTATGGAGAAAGTCTTCATTACCTGTGCTGATCATTAACCCAAGCTTTATCTTCGTGCGAGCAAAGCAGTGTAATAGACTGTACAACTGTGCAGCAACTACCGCTGGAGCCTCGCTTTCGTGCCTGACAGTCTACACAGTGTGGGCGATTTGCTGCCGGTGCACGAGCGATCCGTCGTTTACTGCCCAAAGACGTGAGTAAATATTTCTGGTAGCGGAGCCTTCTGTTACACTGCTGTTTAACTGAGTTTGTATCACATCAACATGCTTATAATGAGTATTATTTATTTACTAACGATTGTATCTGTGTCTGTGTGTGTGTGTGAGTGTGTGGTTTCCATTCTCCTGAAGGTGTGACAGCTTGATTTTACACAACCTCAGTCTGGATGGTAGACCAAAAGGCCAATACTGGATACCCTGTTCAAGCTAAAACAAAAAGCTATGATTGTGATATCCGTAATGGTTTCATCAGTCTGTCGAAACCTGCAGAGTTCAGATGTTAAGTGTATAATTGTTGGCACATTTCCACGTCTGCATCAGTATAGTTGTATTGTTGTTGTCTAACAGATCAAATATTGTCTGAAAGTAGCCAGAACAGAAGGCTCGGTGCACTCATTTCTTTGTTTTGTCCTTGTTGGTAGGTTCTAGTCATAATCAGTTTTATTCAACGGTGCACAGACGTTTAGAAAATATTTCAGAATATGTCAATGTGACATAAATAAACAGATCAAACAAGGAATTCGACAGGGATGTGTTTTGTCACCTGGCCTCTCCTCTCTCTTGAACGGGAGGACATTGAGAGAGATCAAATATACACAAGGAATTACAGTGGGAGTGGAGGGGGGGGGGGGGGGGGGGGGGTTATATTATTAACAACATACGTTATGCAGATGAGACAATACACTTAGGGCCTCGAAAATACAAGGGTATGTGCACGCGCCTGTTTGAAATGACAGCTACTTCCTGTTAAATAAAAAGGTTAAAGGCGAGAGGGTTGACTTCGTTCCATCGGGTTTTATCATCTACAGCTCAGTTTCTCTCCGCAGAACAGCTAGCCAGCCTGCCGAGAGCGACGCACGGACGACGAACACTGTAGCTCTGTCGACGATTGTCAGGAATCTCCGTAAAAATTGCACTCGTGAACCTAACGACGCAGCCTTGAAACGAATCCACGACCTTCAGAGCGTGTAGCTAACAGACTGGCCACTTGGCCAGGCGTGTAGCTAACAGACTGTACTTGGCCACGCGTGTAGCTAACAGACTGGCCACTTGGCCAGGTGTGTAGCTAACAGACTAGCCACTTGGCTAGGCGTGTAGCTAACAGACTGCCCACTAGGCCAGGAAGACCCTCTTCCTGTTAAACTGTTTCGCGTTCGCCGGCTGTAATTTCCAACGGAGAGTTCTGGTTGTTTGTCCATCTCCGGACTTAGGTCTTGTTCCACGTGTACATCCGTTTGACATGTCTGGTCTATTTGCCTGCAGATTGCTGGTTCCTTTTCTCTAATGCAGATGCACTCCGACTTCGAAGGAACCTCCCAATTCATGGACGCCTACGACATGCTTGTTGGGGAGGCGCAATTCCTGATTTCACCAGAATAAGACCCCTGGAACCCGCACGGGAACTTTCATGTTCGATAGCAATGATTTAGTTGTACAGCTGTCAATGACCTTGGCTCCTAACTCGACCTAGCCTTAAATCAGTACCAGGTACAGTAGCTTGGGAAGTAAAGGCGACCTGCTTGATGTCGACCCCAACACTGACCAAGTACCCTTGGTCTCTAAAATAGAGGTCATGCCCTGTTGTAAGGGAAAGGCCTGTACAAGGGTCTTTTTTTTTTACTGGTTTAAATGGAGACAAATATGGCAATGTGGAAATACCAATTCTTACAGTCAAGGCAAGCAAACAAGTGAAGACTGTTGCTGTCTTATCTTCGTCAGCTTTTGGTGCAACCGACATGAACATCCGTACACCGCTTCTGTTGTCAAGATGGCTGCTGTCCGTGAGTACTTTGTTTTCCTTGGTTGCCACAGCGACAGCCTCCACTGTCACTCAGGCAACGACCTTGGGCAGTATCCGGGGAACCATTATTGAACACAGCGCCATACAAGTCAAAGTTTTCTATGGCATACCGTATGCCAAACCTCCCGTTGGTGAGTTGAGATTTAAGGTGAGTATGGTATTCCGTAATCTTTCTTTATTGCAATGACTGCATCAAGTGCACGCGCACACACACTCACAGACAAACCCACATATACTCTTACAGACCACAGTGCCACACACACTCACAGACAAACCCACATACACTCTTACAGACCACAGTGCCACACACTTGTAATCGGCGTATACATGTATATTATGAAAATTGGATGTCGAACGACGAACTGGAAGATGAGACACAGAAAACTGACGCATGCCAGCTCAATTATATCTGCTGAGTCTTCAACATGACATGACACCGCTTAATACCCCCCCCCCCCCCCCCCCCCCCCCCCCGCTTTAAAAAAAAACTGGATTGTCTCTGTGTGTTGTAGGCAGTCAGTTGACTTCGTGAGTCAGTTTCTTCAAGACATGTTCCTGAATATTTTTACCTGTTAATGATGTTCTATATACAGAAGAGCAGAAAGATGAATTCTTTGACGATCTGTCTGATGAGATAAAGAAAGTTGTGGGAAGCAGCATACTATATGTAATGGGTGACTTCAACGGGAGGGTAGGAAATAACAGAAGAGAATACGAACAGTTTTTAGGTCCATATGCAGCTAAGAACAGTGCTAGAAATGGAAATGGTCAAAGAATATTGGATCTATGCAGCCATCACAATCTTTTTTATTATGAACACATTCTTTGACCATAGAGATTCACAACTTTACACTTGGTACAAATGGAATGATGTCTCCATCAAGAGCCAGATTGACTTTATACTTACCAGAGTTCAAGGAAGAAGGAGAATTCTTGATTCAAGAGCAATCCCTAATGGTCTATGTGACACTGACCATAAAATAGTTGTGTTAACAGCAAAACATCTTACATTAAAGAAACACAGAAAGAAATTAAACAAAAACAAGGATCTCATCAAGATAGCAAATCTGAAACAGGAAGGAGTAAAAGAACAGTTACAACAGAAAGCAGAGACAGCATTCAAACAACTTCCACATGTAGTTGGCAATATTGAGGAAGAATGGAGTATATATAAAAACACTATGCTTAGTATTGCAGAAGAATTATGTGGAAAACGGAAGAGTGGAAACAGACGGGGAAATAACAAATATTCACCTTGGTGGTGCGAAGAAGTAAAAGAAGCATTTAAAAAGAAAAAAGACTTATATAAACAGTGGATAAAATCAAAGAAAGAAGAAGATTATATAAACTATAGACTGCAAAGGAGAGAAACCAACAGGAGTGTCAAGAAAGCAAAACAAGCATCCTGGGAACATTTCGGTGAGTCACTAGCAGAAAATGAGAAAACAGCCAGCAGAAAAATTTTCAAAGTAGTTAAAAATATGCGGAAAAGAGATGAGAGCTACAACTCCACTGAAATAATAAATGATAAGACAGGAAGGCCATTGATAGATCCACCTGAGATAGCAGAAAGATAGAGGGAATACTTCAATAAGCTCTTTAATCCTCTAGGAGATCATCAGGAAAGAACAACTGAATAGCACAGAGCAACAGTGTTAAAACCACACATACTAATGGATGAAATAGAAAAAGTCATTAAACAGTCTCCCAAATATAAAGCACCAGGAGCTGATAGATTACCAACAGAAATAATTCAAGCAGCAGGTGACAGCAGCAACAGATGGCTTCACAGAATATTCAATGCAGCATGGGTACAACAAACGGCCCCTATTGATTGGCAACATGCAATAGTTATACCATTGTGGAAGAACAAAGGAAGCAAACGAGAATGCGGTCAATATCGAGGCATCTCTCTTTTAAGCCAAAATGTATGCCAAGATAATAGAAACAAGACTGAGACCAGTGATAGAACCACAGCTGGCAGAAGAACAGATGGGTTTTAGGAGAAATAGAAGCTGCACAGATGCAATCTTCACACTTAAACAGTTAATAGAAAAGAACATTGAATACAATAAGAACTTATTTGTGACATTCGTAGACCAGGAGAAGGCATTTGACAGAGTCGACAGACAATTATTATGGAAAATAATGGCAAGATATGGAGTAAGCGAACACCTCATCGAAGTGTGCAAAATTTTATACAGGGATTGTAGAAGTGTAGTTAGAATAAATCAGGGAACATCTCATCCTTTCACAGTGACATCTGGAGTAAGACAGGGTGTGTCTTATCACCACTGCTGTTTATCACCTACATCGACAGTATATGCAAGAATGCCAAGTCCATAAATGAAGATCTTAGTAAGATCAACGAATTACTCTGTGAAGATGACCAGGCCTTGATAGCAGATACAGCGGTGAAATTGCAACAACATCTAACATCCATGAATGACGAATGTAAAACAAATAATATGAGAATCAACATTGAAAAGACAGAAGTAATGTCAATAGGAAAAAAGAAGACTGATCTAAACATAGCAATAGAATACAAAGGCATTAAACAGGCATCTGAGTTTGAATATCTGGGAACTACATTTACCGAAGATGGGAAATTGGATAAAGAAATTAACATTAGATGCAGTAAAGCAAACCAAATATTGGGACAGCTGGCCCCCACCCCCTCTTACAGCATAAGACAATCCCAATCAGCACAAAGAGACATCTTATTCAAAGCATATTTATTCCAACTCTGTGCTACAAGTGCCAGACATGGTCACTCACAACAAACCATAAAATAAAATTAGTAACCATGGAAATGAGATGTCTGAGAAGGGCTGTAGGAGTGACCATAAGAGATAAGATCAGGAATGAGATCATAAGAGAACAAGTCGACACAGAACCAATTCTGGATTACATACAAAGACAGCAAGTGAAATGGTTTGCCCACTGTGGCAGGTAACTTCGCTTTACACTAGCGAATGCACTATGTGCACTTTACAGAGGGAACTACAAACAGTGAAACATCATACGGTCTTATAGTAACCCCAGCCTTGCTGGTTAAATGAGAGGATTCGGGGTTTGCCCACATCTTATTCCCTACTGTAATTAATTGTATATTTAAATGTATTAAAGTTATACTAGCTTTTGTTCACTGACACACTTACAGTTAAAATGAAACTTCAGAAAACTGTAAGAACATTAAAACTACATTTATTAGGATTTTCAATTCAATATAAATTCAACTGATAACTAAATAAAATGACTGTGGATATAAAACTATGGATTGGGAAAGTAACAGATGTCCCCACTTAGCTGTAGCTTAGGTCAGCTTCTGACTAAGCTTTGGTGACACCTCAGGCAGGCCGAATCTTCCAGTCCAGTCCGGACAATCGGGTATCTGCAGCTAAGCTAAGAATCTACTTCTGGACTACCATCTGGAATACAATCTGGAACTAGAACAATAGAACAGTCCTTATACAAACAGTCAGGAAGGTTCTAACTGGAGACAACAATACCTCCAGTCTTTAAACTGTTACACTACACACATACATATGGAGTAGGATAGTAACAGGTGTTCACATTCTACTGGTATAGAATGGGAATGTATACAGAACATGGTTCATAATCCTGATGGGAAAATATTTAGGAAACCAGTTTCATGAATGCTCTCAAGAACAAGAGTTTACATCACACAAAAAGAAAGGACATTCCTCAGTGTAAATAGTTCTGATGTCTGCACACTTGTACTCCTTTAAAGGGTTAACATGCTTACACACACAGACATACACAGTCATATTTCACAATATTCTCATTTTAACCACATGGGTTCACATTACAATGAATGAGAAGCAGGGAGTGAGTTTACCAAGACCAGGAACTCATAACAGGTGCTTTGCACTGTTTGAAAATAAATGGGATTGACATATCTCCATCAATATACTGGGTGCTGGGATAGATGTCAAAATACAATCATGGATGACAATGGGCTTTCCATCTGTCACAGTATTAACATAAAATATACAACACTCACTCCAGTTTAAATCTAAATCCACACATGAGCTAATCTTATTCAGCAGAGTTTAGAAGTGGTGAGGGGTGAAATATACTTATTAAATTTGTAAGGCCACCTGCTGTAGAACTGAAATGTATTCCTAGTAATAGGGAAATATATATACAACAATAATAATTACAAGCATGGGCCATACATCTCTTTTCTGCTTCTTCTTCTCTGACAGTGTGAGTATTAAATTCAGCCTCACTGTGTTATTCACTTTCCAAGCTCTTAAACTAGTCTCAGAATTATCTGGAGTAAATCTAAATTAAAGCAAGACAGTGATTTATTAAGCTAATATCACCATGAGGTAAAAATCAACTTAGAAGGGATTAGGTATAATGAATATACACTTCATTCCTTTTTAATTGTCCCACCATGCTGGAAACCGGAACTGGCCGAGATTTCACATGAGGACATAATTATCACTTAATTAATATAAGTATAATAATTGAAAATATCAGTGCACGTTTCTAGTATCAAACAAACATTATTTAAATCATCAAATAGATCATGTTGGCATACATGTACATACTAGATCATAAACGTGGTTAGTAAGGATACAGAAATTTATCAAGATTTTTAACAGATAAAATTGATTCAGAGGAATAAGCAGCAATATATCTAATTAAACATTTTTTTTTTAACTCACCCCTGGCAGGGAATTCAAACAGAAAATTAGACCAGTCTGACTGAAACTTTAGTCTAAACCGGTCAATTTCTGAATTGAAAAGGGAACAGGAAGTCTTTAAAAAGGGAGAAGTAATTCTTCAGTTCCCCTTGCACTACTCATCTCATTCACCTTTATTACCTTTCAACTCTTTAATTATAATTTTGCTCCAATGAAGCATTAAGAAAGGGGTAAGAAATTTCTTAATTAATCCAGTGTTATTATGCTAATTAAAAGCAATAGGAAAATGTTTAGAACTTTGGTAATAAAATTATCTAAACAAAGCAATATTTAAGAGGACAGGAACAGCTGTCCAGACCAGCTCGTCACACCCACTTAGAGAGAATGCCTTGTGACACAATACCATACAAAGCATACATGGAAAGAGAAGAAGGACGTAGAGCACGAGGTAGACCAAGAACAAGATGGAAGGATAACATCAGAGAAACTCTACAACAGCACGATGTGCCTATGGTCGAGGCGGCCAGAAGAGCTAGAAACAGAACCTTTTATCTCCCTCGACACCCACAGCGGTAAAAGAGGAAGTGAAGAAGAAGAAGAAGAATGATGTTCTATTATTATTTTTTTCGTAGAACCACATATCTGTTGCTTCCACATCATTTTTGACCAATTAGCCACCTGTCGACGATTCACTGCTATATACTAGGATAGGGTTTATGTAGCTCTTGATCATTCCCTTGTTGGTGTTCATTGACAATGAAAGATTGCACAAAGTATTCTTCATTTAGAGGTGTTCTTTTAATTCTAATATAATTCGACATGTTGAACAATTTTTGAGCATCATATTCCTCTACAGAACGCCACTCTACTCCCGCATGAAAGTCTCTCTTTCTCTAGCCAGCTCTCCAGCCCTATGTGCTTTCATACCCAATGTATCTGCAACGTCCACTATCCACCTTCGCGTATAATGCTCAACAATCGGGACAAGAGAAAGAACTACAGTAGCTAAAATGTTTACAGTATGTTTGCTATGAGGCTGAGTTGACCGTTATCTCATGGGACTCTCGCAGGCTCCCGAACCACTGGCAGGCTGGACCGGAACTCGTGATGCAACCATCTTGCCCAGCGCCTGCTGGCAGCCGATAGACACCAAATTTGATCGCTTCCCAATGGTGGAGATGTGGAACGCCAACACAAACATGAGGTTAGTGACTTGCATGTTCAAGTGAGTCCTTATCTGTACTGTTATTTACAACACTCTAGGGAGGTACATGTCCATAGAGAGGGGAGATAGAGATAGATAGATGGACGGATCGATGGATAGATAGATAGATATATACAGACATAGTCTTAGAGATTAGCTTCAATCAACGTTCATTGCGGAGACGGTACCTGACTGATGGCCAGTGAAACTTCGGACGGTAAACTTCCGGTACTACACTCTAGTCACAGACATCCCGGCATGCTCCGAGTATGTCCGGCTGTTTGTTTGGTCCCACTCTGTCACACGCAACAGTCACGTCAACACACACACACATATAGATGAGTATTCAATGTAATTATATATATATGTGTGTGTGTGTGTGTGTGTACGTGTTTGTTGTGTATATATTGGTGAGTTTATGTGTATATATAGAGAATAAAGAAAGAGGGAGGGAGTGAAAGAGGTGAAGTAGATGGAGTGAGAGATAGAGACAAGAAAGAAATCACTGACATACACTAAACTCATGTGGACCCGATCCCACCCAGTGAAGACTGTCTGTACTTGAACATGTGGGTCCCGGACACGGCTGACCCCAAGGCCGTGATGGTGTGGATCTATGGCGGGGCATTCAACGCTGGCAGCTCCTCCTTGGATGTTTACAACGGGCTGGCCATGGCCGCCAGAAATAACGTCATCGTCGTGACCTTCAACTACAGGTGAGTCAAGTTTCTGTCCTTGTTCCATTCCCTGGTTCCAGCGCCAGAATGCTCCTGAAATCCCATGCTATCATTGTGGAAGACTTTTCTTGACACGGGCGGGTCTTGCTAGTCACACTCGCCATCGCCATGGGCTGTGAGTCTCATGCCTCCTCATAGCGCAATATAAAATTATCGTCTGAAAAGACGGAAAGGTGCCAGTGATGACATGTATCACATGCATTCATTTCTTCTCTCTCTCTTTCCCACTCCCTTTCCAACTATTTCATCTATCTCTCTCTCTCTCTCTCTCTCTCTCTCTCTCTCTCTCTCTCTCTCTCTCTCTCTCTCTCTCTCTCTCATCTGTCTGTCTGTCTGTCTGTCTGTCTGTCTGTCTGTCTGTCTCTCTCTCCCTCTCTCTCTCTCTCTCTCTCTCTCTCTCTCTCTCTCTCTCTCTCTCTCTCTCTGAGCCACCTTTTAAAAGTTACAATTTATTCATACCCTGCCCGTAGGCAGTGGCACAGTCAAAGGTCACCCAAGGGTCGTGTAACCACAAATAAACAAACGACCTGCTACATGTTGTGCTTATTAATGGGGCATTGAGTGACGTTGTAACCCCACCACATACGATAAAGACCCAATGACAGCCCAGATGCTGCTTGTTTCCCCCAGGAGCTGGTACATTTTATGTTAGGAAATGAGTATATGTAAATATATATATATACTTATATTATATATTATACTGATATATATATATATATTCTAATTCCAATTCTCTTACGTTGACCACTTTCAGCTAGGTCAGATCACATTTCTGCTCTCTTTCCTGTCTGCTATATTTGTGGTGACATTTCTGGTCTCGATCTCATTTGGTTTTGAATTGTGTTTTCAGTATTTGTCGCTTTCTATTTATTGTGGTTTCCGCTCGATTGTCTGCTTTCGTAATTTGGCTGGCCCTGTGCTGCGCTCTAGATCATTTAATGTTGAGTCGATTTTGTGTGGAATTCATTGGCCGTTTGCTGTTTCCGAGGAGAGGGGATTGCCTATCCTTAGAAGGACTGGCGATTGCTTGCTTTGGGCAGGTACTGAAGGAAATAATGGTGGGGTCTGGTGTTATTTGGTGGTCTTCTCGTATCCTTGTTGTAAAGTGCTTCTCCTACATAGGGTTTAGGTAGTTTTGGCTTTGGTGGTGTCGTCTCTGGCATTGTTTGTGGTAACGGTGTCGACCTCGTTTGACTTCAGGTTTTGGCTGTCGGAACGGTTCTTCTGGTGATGACCATGGAACATCATCCTCTTGCAATTCTGGGTTAAAGTAGTTCAGATCCTCCAGCTCCCTGATGCGTTGGTTTATTTGTATAGTGGTTTCGCCCGGAAACTGCCCCATCAGCGGCGCCAGTGTTTTCTTGTCTGGTATTTGATATGGCTTTTTCTGGTTTTCGGCTCCCTGAGGTTTGGGTGACTGTATTTGCTGCCTTCTTGCTGCTTCTTTTCGTGCTTTCTCTCTTTCCTCCATAACTCTGTTGGTTGCTTGTAGTTCCTTGTTTTGTCTGTTGTTTTCTTCATATGCTCTACGTAACTTTTCCTCTGTTTCAGCAAGTGCTTTCTTGATCATTGCGACTTCTTTCGCGAGAAGCCGTTGGTTCTCCCGCAGATCAGTGATGCTTGCCTCGTCTTCCCTTGCTTTAGTTGGTTGTTCCTGCTGTGTCTGGATAGTAGCCAGTGCATTCATGATGTCCTCCTTGAAATTCGTCATCTCTGTTGCCATCCGTTTCTGGGTGTCAAGAGTCGCCTGCATGATAGCTCTCAGGCCTGTTATTGCATCTCTGTCTTCATCTCGTTGGGATTTGGATGCTTCTTTCTCGTCTCTGAGAGCTTGAATGTCACTTTTGAGTCGAGCCATCTCGTTGCTCAATTTGGCGGTGATAGCTGTCGTTATGCTTTGTGTTGCTTCGTGACTTCTGCGGGCCTCATGGTATGGAATCTTTTCCCTATGGCCGTGGTTGCTATGTCTCGGCATTGTTGCAAATAGGGGCACCCCAGGTATCTGGCGCTGTGTTTGCCTTAGCAGTTTGCGAACTTTCTGCTCGGATTTGGAAACCTAAAGTCTGTGTCCAGTTTTGCCAGAGGGCAATTGTTGAAGGCATGTGGTTCTGAACAGTATCGGCATACTTCTTGTTCGCTCACACAAGTGGCTCGGGAGTGCCATGCTATTTGACAACGAGAGCACTGGATCACCTGTGGTACGTATTGCTCTGGTCTTTGCATTCTTTGATTTAAGTAGACTTTATCCGGGATGTCTTCTCCTTCTGATGTTATCATTGCTACTGGTAGTGGATGTCGTTTTGAGCCCAGTCTCTCTACTTGGTTGATTGTGATACTTGGGTTTTCTTTCCTTATTTGTTGTAGTAATTCTTCGTTGCTCCATTGCAGGCTGACTCTTCGGATCACCCAGCGTCTTACATTCTGGAAGATAGTAGCCGTCACAGTTATCTCCTCAGACAGTCGGAGTTCTTTCTTGCCGTTGTGTTGGATGTCATCCAGCATGTCTGAGGTGCGGTTGGTTCTGTTTAGTGAAGCTATCACTCCCTCTCGAGTTCTTCTAATCTTTGCGACCGCCCTCTTGCCTAACATGATCTCCAGCATATTGATCAACGTTAGTGTTGCCAGTGTAGTGATTGCTGTCCGGCCCTAGCTGGTCTGTCGGAGAAATATTGTGGCAGGAAATTCGTGGCTGCCTGTCTTTCGTCGATCTGGAGATGTTTCTGGAGTTGGCCGTGTTGGTTCAGGTGACGCCAGAACGTCACTCAGGGCCTCACTAGTAGTCGGGGCGTCTTCCTTTGATCCGGCAGTTACTGTCTCCGTCTTCCTGGCTGCCGAGTTGGATTGGGTGGATCGGTCAGTGGGTTGTTTCCTCTGTCCGTTGCGCTTTCCATTAGGTTTGTTTCTTTGAGACATGGTGATTGCGGAGAAGGCCTCTCGCTCTGATAAATGCTTTGGTTCTAATGCTGCCTATCCTCAACAAGGACCAGCAGATATTGTATTGTGTTATGTAGGTTTGAATCCTATCTGATGACAAGTCCTCTCCCTCTGCCTATCCTCAAAAGGACCAGCATGTGCTGTATTGGGCAGGTATCAATACTATCTGGTGATTCACTGTGATGGCGTGATGGTGGACAACTGCTGAACTGTTGGCGACAAGTTCTGCTATCATCAATGATGAACTGCATTTCTAATGTTGGACTGTTTGTGTTAGCACTTCGGATGGCTACCGTATGCTTTAATGCGAGTGTATGCTAGATATGCTGAGACAGCAGTCTGTCAATCTTTCCACAAGGGACTGTGATAAACATTCTGGAT